TCTGTCCTATGGCTCTGGCGCGCCAGCCCTGGGAGAGATAGGAAGCGCACGACAGGCTCCGAATGACAACAATCTCGCGAAGTGCGCTGGCAGAGCCGCCCCGCGCGGGGCCGGACAAAAGGGCGCGTACAGTGAGCAAGCAGGTCGAAGTAGCATCCGCCCAAAGGGTGGCAGTGATCGCGTCAGATGCCAGTCTTCAGATTAGGGAGCCGCCAGCGATCCGTCCGATCCTATGATCTTCGCTCGTGGCATCGTGCGGAGGGGGATTATGTTTGCGCCCTCGCGCGGTCACCCTGGAGATGGGCAGCTCTCCGGCCACTGCCGCGAAACGAGATCATCTTCCCGCCCGTGTGGGTGACCTGACGCTGACCAGACTGGATGTGAAGACAAGGGCATCCGAAGCCGTCGCTCGAACAAACAAGCTGCGCCCCGGCCTGGATCTTCGCCCGCATCTCCTTGGGGGCCGAAGAATGGAGATGCACAAATGTCGGATGGTCGCCGGATAGCAGTATTGCCTGGGTCACAGAGGGCCTGGCTCATGACGAAAGCAACCAGAGATGAAAATGGAGTGGACGAATCGAAGCAATCGGGTGACACTCAGGAGCTCTCAGAGAACACTGGGATCCAACACAACGAAAGATGACTTCCAAGAAGCAACATCATACACATTATTCCGTGTTCTACGTCCCCCCTTCTGCACATCATTATCGATGCAGCCTCCTTGTCGTCATCCTCGTCCTAAGCATCATCATGGCGTTGCCCATTATCTTCCTGGTAGATATGGTCGGCATCCTCTGATGGTCGGCATTAATCCTCACACCCTTCCTCTCTCCCATCATCTCCCTCATGATCGCGCTTCACCTCGTCATCGTCGCCCTCCTCCTCCTCCTCCTCCTCCTCCTCCTCATCCTCCGCTTCCTCATCATATCATCCCCCTCATCCCTCTCTTCCCCTCTCTTCTCCATCAACCTCTCTCCATACTGCATCCTGCTGCCTGCGTGCCTCCTCACTTCTCTCCTCAGCCCCGTTTCTCTTCACTTCCCATTCCGTCTCATGATTATTACTCCTCCCTTATGTATGTTCCCTCCTCCCCAGCTCTCCTTCTCCTCATGAACGATTTTGATTACCATTGCCATTCTCATCTTTATCATCCCTTGTATGTACTGCGCGTCGCCTTCCAGTATCCTCCCTTATCCCTCCACTCGTTTCCTCATTCCTGCCTCCTCCGTCCTCGTCCCCCCTTACCTCCTCCAGGAGGGGCAGGAGAGAGAAAGAGGATGAGAAGAAAGCAATCAGAGGGAGAAAGGAGGAGGACACCGACGAAATGGAGAACAATTGTGAGGAAGGAGCAGGAGGAGAAGAAGCAGGAGGGCCAGGAGGGAGAAGCAGAGGATGGAGAGACAGGGTAGGAGACGGGGCGAAGCAGCAAGAGAGGAGGGAGCGAGGACCAGGGAGGACGAGGAGGAGGAGGAGGAGAAGGAGAAGGGGGCCACGAGCCCGTCCTCCCCCTTCCTCCTCCCCCTTCCTCCTCCTCCTCCTCCTCCTCCTCCTCCTCCTCCTCCTCCTCCTCCTCCTCCTCTCCCTCCTCCTCTTCCCTTCTCTATCGCTGCCCTCGTCTTGCCTTCCATGTCCCCCCCCCCGTCCCTCCTCCCGCCCTCCTCCTGCCCTCCCCCTCCTCCCCCTCCCCCTCCCCCTGCTTCTCCTGCTCCCTCCCCTCGCCTCCCCTCGCCCTCCTACGCCCCCCTCCCCCATCCTGCGCCTCGGGGGCGGCGCAGGCGGCGCAGCACGCCTCCCCAGACCTCGCCCTCAGCTGGTGGTAGGAGTCCTGGCGCCGGCGAGCACCGGACCATCAGGGAGCGAAGCGAGCCCCTCGTCCTGGTCGTCGTCGTTGCGCCTGGTGGGCACCCTCCCTCCTCCTGCCTCTCCCCCCTCCGCTTCCGCCTCTCATCCTGCCTCTGATGCGCCCCACCGCCTCCGCAACCTCCTCCCCCCTGCCCCCCCCTTCCCCTCCTCCTCCTCCTCCTCCTACCCCTCATCCCCTCCTCCCACTTCACCTCCCTCCTCCTCCCTCTCCTCCTCCTGCCCTCCCCCTCCTTTCCTCCCCGTCGCGAACTGCGACGACCGTTGCGACGGCGGCGGGGGCGACGACGACGACAACGACAACCCACAACGAACAAAGCCCACCCAAAATCAATCCCTCGAGCCCTCCTGGGTCCATCCTGGCGAACTTTTCGAGCTGCGCCCGGCCATGGCGACGCGAACCTCCAGATCCCTCCAGAAACCTCTGCGGAATTTAAAGAGGCCCTCTAGAGGCTCGCAGACAAGCGCACCAACCGCATCAAACAAAATGCAAAATCAGTCGGGCGACGACGACGACGACGACGGCGACGACCGCGCCGCAAGTGCGCTCCATGAAGATCTCGCCGCGCCGCACGCGCAGGCGGATGGTCTCCGCGCGGCTCTCGAGGCGCCGCGACCGGAGCTGCGAGCGGAAGTACGCCTGGCCGGCCGTGGCCCCGCGGCGCCGCTCGAAGAAGATCGTGCCCCGACGATTTCTGGATTATGTTTTAATTTTCCTCCTGTAGAAGGACACGCTCGACTCAACCCGACCTCTGAGATTGACAGGCCCAAAGGCGATGACAATCTTAGGGGTGCGCCCAGAGAAACTGAGGGAACCCTCAAGATCGGCATCGAGATCAGGTGGAGCCAGTCATAGTCGGCGGTGGACAGACCTCCCTTTAGTAAACCTCCCTTCAGTGAAAACGGCCCAGGACCGCAACCGACGGACCTGGACCCGCAAAAATGACGGCTGCGACGCCTTCTCGCGAACCGACAACGGCCAATTCGCCAATCGACGTGTCAGGGCAGGAGGTCCGTCCGCCCCCGACATAGGGATTAAGGGTCACTTTCCGGGCTGGTGATGCCGAGGGTCGAGCCCTATAGGTGCGTCGCCGTCGTCGCTTTGGAGGTCTTGGGCCGTCTCCGGAGGTCCTCGCTGCCATGGCCGGACGTCTGCAGGACTTCTCCGGAGGCCTTTTCTTCAAGAGCCTGTTGGGCGCCTCCGGAGACCTCCAGTGACCGTCTGCAGATGGCTTCGGAGGAGGGAGGAGGAGGAGGGGGGAGGAGGGAGGAGGGAGGAGGGAGGAGGAGGAGGAGGAGGAGGAGGAGGAGGATGAGGAGGAGGAGGAGGAGGACTGGCTTCGACAGTGCGTAAGTGCTGACTCCAGTGTCGGACATGCAGCTCTAGGCCGGACGTGGAACGCTGCGGTCAGCGCAAGAGAAATGACCGCAGAAGGCTCCCTGCCTCTCTGTGGTGATGTTTCGGCGGAGGTCCGTCTGCTGTCCTATCTGAGTCTGACGCTCGTGCTCGTCATCCTCATCACCCTCCTCGTCCTCGTCGTTTTCGCCATCTTCATCTCCGTTCAGGCTTGCCAAGCACAGAAGCATGTTCGCGGCGGTGCGGGAGGGATGAAGAGAGAATTCTCGTTATCCTCATCCACATCCTCGTGCTCGTCGTGTTCGCTTTCCTCATCTCTGTTCGTGCTGATCCACCGCAGCCGACCTTTCTTGGCGGTGCTAGAGGGATACTATCAGACCTAGAACAGAAGAACCTCCTTTAAGAGAATGAGGCCCTCCGCTTGCCAAAACACAGCATCCGAGGGTACCCTCTCCCAGGATGCACAAGAACATCCAACAAACGCGAATAACATGCGGGCATCCACGCCGAACTGACCTCGATATTATTCCTCGGTCCTACTGCAGATAGAGGGGAAGAGGAGGAAGAAGAGGAGGAGGCGGAAGATGCCTTACGTAGAGCCTGCGTTCCCTCCGTCTCCTCCTTCCGCTGGGGGTGGCTCGGGCTTTACTTGGCCCCCTCCCCTCGGGATCTAATGAACCGTGTATATGCAAACCCAGGTCAGTCACACATTGCCAGATTCTGCAGGATCCTCCGCCCAAGCCTGGATCAGTGCTCCCCGGGCCCTGCAGGATCCTGCAAGATCCGGCGCTCTGACTGACCCCCGTTTACATTGGCCCCCGTCTCTTGAGCCGCGATCCCCTTTCCCGTCAGTCGTTCTGGCCTCATGGTGTCTAGCACTGTAACTCGCATCGAGGCTGGCGTACCGACGATGCTGAGGACCGGAGCGAGGCCGACCGCCTCCTCCAGCCTCTTGCTCGTCCTCGTCGTCCACCATACGCCTCCGCCTCCTACAACTCATCATCCTGTATGTTCCTCCTGGCTTCTCCGCATTTTCGTGGTGGTGCGAAAGGAAACGAAGGGGATGGCGAGAGAGAGAGAGAGGGAGGAATTACAAAACCTGGGGAGGACTGCTCAAGCGTCCCTCTTCCCCGAGGGCCCCAAGACGGCCAGAAGAGCCCTCCAAAACATGGCCCGCAACGAGTCTGGATCCCACCCCGCCTCCTTCTCCAGCCTCGTCCGCATCCCCGTCGTCCACCATGCTCCTCCGCCTCACACGTGAAATTCTGGCTTCGGGAGGGAGGTGGGTTCAATTTCTCTTTGAGAAATGGAATCCTATGTGGTGCAATGTATGCTGTGCAAACCAATGTGGTGCAATGCATGTTGTGCAAACTATCTGGTGCAATATCTGTGGTGCTATCAATGTCGTGCAATATATGTGATACCGTTTGTGTGAAGCAACCTATGTAGTGCAATCGATGTTGTACCACCTAGCTTGTGCATTATATGTTGTGCAAACTGCTGTGTGCGACCTATGTAGGGCAATCAATGCTGTGCAATACGTGGTGTGCCATCTATCCCGTGATGTGCACTCTGCAATGTGCAACATAGGTGTTACAACATGCGTCGTGAAACTCATATGGAACACGATATTGTGGAATCGATGAGGCGTGATATTATTCAAAAGTGTGCGGTGCAAGCCATGTTGTCCAGCCTATCTTGTGCAGCCCATGCTGTGCAATTCATCGGCGGCGACCAGCGGCGACTGGGCGGCGAGGGCAACAGCATAGCCGTCCGCCGACCGACAGACGGGCCCAGTTGCGGGCAGCGGCGAGGCGGCGACGGGGCGGCGACGACGGCAACATGGCCGCCAGACTGAACGACAAGCCCAATTAAGGGCGTCGACGAAGCGGTGACGGGGCGGCGGCAACGGCAACACGGCCGTCAGACCGACAGACAGGCACAGTCCCTTAGAAGAGAAGAACCCCTAAGTGCAAGCACTGTTTGAAGACTACGGCTATAGACATACAGATATGTGAGTAATGCGTACAGCTGTATCGGACAAACACACACATACGAACACAAATGGAAAACGCGACAGTCCTGAATCAAGCAACCGTCATGGAACCGTTCTCCGAACTCCCGCCAACACCCCCACCTCTCTTTTATCATCGCTTCCAACATCTCCCGCCCCTACATCTACGCCCGCATATCCTCCTCCCGTCCCCCCCTCCACCTCGCCTCCGTCGTATTCCTTGTCTACCTCCACCGCATCCGGCGAATACTGTGCTGCCGTCTTCGGCTGCTCTGAGTCCCTTCTCTGTCTCCTTCCATCGCGCTCCCCGATCGTGCTAGTACAACAGAAAAAGATTCGCAATCCTTGTCATTCTCCACACTTGCATTGCCAACCCATGACCCCCAGTGTATATGTGGGTCTCCTAGGTCCTTTGTGCCTATGGAGGCACCAGGACACAAACAGGATTCAAATACGTAGCACCCAGCAGTTGCGGATAAGAGTGAGGGGGCTGCGGGGACGTCGGCACTCTGCAAGGCTCTGAGAAGAAGCCCGCCGCATGCGCCGAATTTTTACAAATTATACAACGGGCCCACCGCAAGCTCCGATTTTTCGTTGAAGCAATGTGGGTGGGTCTCGGGTGGGTCGCGGGAGCGGTTTGGTCGCGGGTGGGTCGCGGGTGGGCCGCGGGCGGGTCGCGAGCGGGTCGCGGCTTGAGTCGCGGGTGGGTCGCGATTGGGTCGCGGGGTGGATCGCGGTTGGGTCGCGGGTGGGACGACAACAAACAGACAACAAACAACAAACAACGCAGCAACAATCCGCACCGCGGAACCTGACTTCAGCCACGCGTCCAGAGACGATGAATGGTCTGTCGGCCCCCTCACTCTAATCTAGCCTTGAGCCTGGAACCTTCTCTTCCTCCATCCCCCAACTCCATCCCTCCCTTCCCCTCCCATCCCCTTCTGCCCGCTAGTCTGTTACACTCCCCCGTGCAGCCATCCCCTTCAATGCCCTCATCTGCACTACCATCTGCCCTCACTTGTTGAAACCAACGGCTCCCACCGACATCCAAAACTTAGCCTGGCGCGCGATTGCTCCAGGAATGGAGCCGCCAGAACAAAGTTCTCTGTGGCAGCGACCTTGAACAGCGGTAGGAGAAGGGGGGAGGAGAAGCAGGAGGGAGGGAAGGACATCAAATACTCCCAACCCTCCGATGTTTTTGGGGTAACTTTCCCGCACGACAGCCGCAGAAAGTGACTTAAGCAGACGGCCGATGGCCTCCATACGATGCCACGAAGAGGTACTCAGGCAAGTGCACCGGCAATTGATGACGAAGCTCGCGAAGGGAGCGCGGTACATATGTATTGATCGAGGAAAACCAAGCGAATTGAACAGGTCTGTCAGACTGAAGACTATTCCTCAGAACTGTGGACTATGTCGAAAGGCCGCCCTCACCTACTGCCCGAGAAGACTGGCGCATGTGCCCTCCGACAGGCCGTACAGCCCGATGTTCATCTGGAACAGCTGCGTGGCCTTCTCGTAGACGGGACCGTCGAAACGGTCCGTCCAGCCCTCGAGGTCGGAGGTATCGTACGGCGACGAGGAGCCTCTGTTCATCAGCTCGACACTGGCGGCAGCACCCCCGAACATGGCGTGGAAGAGGCAGACAGAGAGGTACCACTCCTCCGTCAGGCCGACGAAGGCGAAGTCGCTCTCGAGGCGGCCAACCGCCTCGGCCACCTCCGTGTCGAGGGCCTCCGTCTGGTTCTCGCACACGTTCTTGCCGCCGCGCGTCAGCATCTTGACGGCGCACCCGGACACGGCCAGGGCGTACTGGCGAACGGACGCGGCGGGCTTCAGATTCTGCGGCCAGTCGTGCTGGTTATCATTGAAGGAAGAGATCACGCGCTGCTCTGGCTGGCGGAGCATGATCGTCCCGTGTCCCAGCCGCTCCTCGTCCGACATGAAAGAGAGCCCGTCATGGCTTCCGATAGAGCGGCCTTGGAAGGCTCCTGGGCACGCGCTGGTGATCTCTTTGAAGTACCCTGGCGAGGCCAGCATGTGCCTGAAGTCGTCCGTGGAGAGGTCCTCGTTGAGGAGGCCCTCCGACCCGCTGCCGACGAAGCCCGGGCACAGGGTGGGGTTGTTCAAGAGCACGGAGGCGAAAGTCGAGCCCGCTTTCGCCACGTGCACCCAGTATACGGGCTTCAGGCTCTCGGCCCGGCTCACGGCGCCCGCCCCTCCGCCAACGGAGGGCCGCCCCGCGCCGGAAGGCGCCCTGGCCGCGCGG